CTGGTGCTACGAATCATATGTCAGGTAACCCCAATTTATTTGCTACTTTTTCACCATCTACATCTTTACCTGATGTTACAATAGCGGATGGCACCGCTTCTCCTGTTCTTGGCTCTGGCACAGTTCATCTCTCCAAAACTCTTTCATTGACCTCTGTTTTAAATTTGCCACAATTTTCTTTTAATTTGATCTCTGCCAGTAAACTTACTCATGATCTCAATTGTTGTGTCTTATTCTTTCCTGGTTATTGCTTATTTCAGGATCTTACAACGAAGAAGACTATTGGTAAAGGGCGTGAATCTAATGGCCTCTACACGTATGATACACAAATACCTACGGCCACTGTTTGCACTCGAGTGCCAACTCCTTTCGAAGAACATTGTAGTTTGGGTCATCCATCTCTCTCCGTGTTAAAGAGTCTTCGTCCTCAATTTCACAGTTTGCATTCTTTAGATTGTGAGTCATGTCAATTTGCTAAGTTTCATCGTCTCAGTTCCTATCCTAGAGTCAATACATGAGCTAATGCTCTTTTTGAATTAGTTCATTCTGATGTTTGGGGTCCTTGTCCTATTGAGTCCAAAAATGGATTTCGGTATTTTGTTACTTTTGTTGATGATTTCTCTCGTGTAACTTGGTTATATTTGATGAAACATCATTCTGAGTTACTTTCTCATTTTCGTAACTTTCATGCTGAAATTCGAACTCAATTTGGTGGCTCTCTTAAAGTTCTACGGAGTGATAATGCTAAGGAATATTTTTCTAGTGCTCTTGGCTCCTATTTAAGTGAACATGGTATTATTCATCAATCATCTTGTGTTGATACTCCGTCTCAAAATGGAGTTGCAGAAAGGAAAAATAGACATCTTCTCGAAACAACAAGAGCCTTAATGTTTCAAATGCATGTTCCAAAATACTTTTGGGCTGATGCTGTTTCGACGGCTTGCTTCTTGATTAATCGCATGCCTTCGTCAGTTCTTAAGGGTGGAATACCTTATCGTACTTTGTGTCCTACGCAACCTTTATTTCCTATTAAACCTAAAATATTTGGTTGCACTTGTTTCATTCGGGATGTTCGCCTCCAGCTCACCAAATTAGACCCTAAGTCATTGAAATGCATTTTCCTTGGTTACTCTCGTGTTCAAAAAGGGTATCGATGTTATTGTCCTGATCTCAATAGTATCTTGTCTCTCCTGACGTCACGTTCTTTGAAAATACTCCTTTTTCATCGTCCTTGAGTACCAGTCAGGGAGAGCAGTCACAGGAAGATGATACCTTTCTTGTCTATTCTATTGTCTCTACTTCTACTGAAGAACTTCTTAGCAATACATCTCCCTCTGCGCCTGATCCTTCTCTCCCCACTATTACTCAAGTTTATTCTCGTCGGCAACCTCCTACAGATTCATGCCCTATACCAACAGCTTCTTTGTCTGTGGATCCAGGAACGAGTGATGACCTTCCTATTGCCCTTCGAAAAGGTAAGCGTAAGTGTACTTATCCTGTTTCTTCTTTTGTTTCATATAACCATTTATCATCATCTACTTGTTCGTTTATTTCATCCCTTGAATCTGTATCTATTCCTAAAACTGTTCATGAAGCTTTGTCTCATCCTAGTTGGCGGGCTGCTATGTTGGAGGAGATGACTGCCTTAGATGACAATGGTACTTGGGATTTAGTGTCTCTTCCTGCCGGAAAGAAACCTATCGATTGTAAATGGGTGTTTGTTGTTAAAGTTCGTCCGGATGGATCAATTGCCCGTTTGAAAGCTCACCTTGTTGCTAAAGGATATGCGCAGACTTACGAAATTGATTATTCTGATACTTTTTCTCCGGTTGCTAAATTGGCTTCTGTCAGGTTATTCATTTATTGGCATCTATTCACCATTGGCCCTTGCATCAGCTTGATATTAAAAATGCATTCCTCCATGGTAATCTTCAAGAAGAAGTTTATATAGAGCAACCACCAGGTTTTGTTGCTCAGGGGGAGAATGGAAAGGTATGTCGCCTTCGTAAATCCTTATATGGGTTGAAACAAAGTCTGCGAGCATGGTTTGGAAAATTCAGTCAGGTGATTGAGAATTTTGGAATGAAGAAGAGTAAGTCAAATCATTCTGTTTTTTATAAAAAATCTGAGTCTGGTGTTATCTTACTAGTTGTGTATGTTGATGATATTGTAATTACTGGTAATGATTCATCCGGCATCCTATCACTGAAGTCTTTTCTTCATAGTCAATTTCATACTAAAGATTTGGGAATGTTGAAATATTTCTTAGGAATTGAAGTAACAAGGAACAAGAAGGGGATCTTTTTGTCACAAAGAAAGTATGTACTTGACTTGTTAACTGAAACAGGAAAGTTAGCTGCTAAGCCGCGTAGTACCCCAATGATACCTAATTTACAACTTACAATGGAAGGGGAGTTGTTGAAAGATCTTGAGAAGTATAGGAGATTAGTAGGGAAGCTGAATTATCTTACGGTTACAAGGCCAGACATAGCTTATCCAGTCAGTATTATGAGTCAGTTTATGAGTTCTCCTACAACTGACCATTGGATCGCATTGGAACATATTCTATGTTATTTGAAAGATGCTCCTGGACGTGGCTTGTTATATAAAGATCATGGTCATCTTAATATTGAATGTTTTTCAGATGCTGATTGGGCAGGTTCTAAGGAAAATAGAAGATCAACCTCAGGATATTGTGTATTTGTCGGAGGTAATTTAGTTTCTTGGAAAAGTAAGAAACAAAACGTGGTGTCGCGTTCGAGTGCTGAATCAGAATATAGAGCTATGGCACAGTCGGTGTGTGAATTAGTATGGATACATCAGCTTCTGACTGAATTGGGATTTGGCATCACCACTCCAATAAAACTTTGGTGTGATAATCAAGCAGCTCTTCATATTGCATCTAATCTAGTATTTCATGAACGAACCAAACACATTGAAGTTGATTGTCATTATGTATGTGAGAAAATACTGCAAGGATTGGTGGTTACAGGGTATGTGAAGACTGGAGATCAGCTAGGAGATATCTTTACTAAAGCATTGAATGGAGTACGAATAGATTATTTGTCTAACAAGTTGGGCATGATTAATATATATGCACCAACTTGAGGGGGAGTGTTAGAGTATAGATATTAGTATATTTTATATTCTTGTATTAATATTAATTTGTCTTTTACCTTCTCCGTATAGGATTAGGTCAACCTTGTATATTTGTCTATATATATAGACTTTAATAATGAGAATCCAGAACATTGGATTCTCTCCAACCTTAGTCTCTACAACTTATATTGTCACTCTTACGTGATACTCCATCCGTTTTAAAGAAAAGCCACAACTATAACAGCCATCACCCAGACGTTTATAACTTCTAAATCTAATAACCATTGCACTCCATAACAACTTAAAACAATTATAATCTCTAGACAATTTGTTACAGCTATAAATTCAAAAATTAAAAAATAATAATAAAACCAAATTCAATTAAATTCTTTTACAAAATTTTATATACTCTCACGTGTTTCTTTTTCTTTTTTGCGCTAGTATTTTGTAGAAATTCACTCCAATGCTACCCATTGCATAATATCTATTTCATCCACTCCCTTCAACACGGTTGATTATTGTCACCATACCAATTGTCCACGATTGTCACCCTCACTTTATTGTCATGTTAGATTCTCGATCACGAGAAAGTAACAAGATAACTATATTGCAATATTAAAGAGATGTTATAATATCGATAGCCTTTCGAGAGGGCTATCTCTCTCCCAAGAACAATGCCAAGTTCCTCGCCTTAAACTATTCCCCAAAAGATCTCATCCTTCTCTCCCTACTACACCTATTTATATCCAACTTACCCCTAACTAATTACCATAATGCCCCTAACTAATATACTAATACTATTCTCAAACTATCCTAGGACTCTCACATTATCCCGCCCTTCAAAGACACCTTGTCCTCAAGGTGTGTCAACAAAAACAAAATAACCCTTTTTTTTCTTTTTCTTTTTTTTTAACACCCACAATATTAAAAACCTAGCCAAATATCAAACCCTAGGTTCTGAATCTGCTGTTCTAACAGGTGTGCAGCGGTTCTGAATTTGCTGTTCTGACAGTGTTCAGTGGATGGCAGAGGACAATGGGTCGTGCAGTAGATGGTGGTGGCCGGTGGTATGTGACAGAAGATGGTGCGGCAGCAGTGGCATGTGACAGCAACGACAGGAAGGTGTACCACAGCGAACATCGATGGTGTGACAAACAACGGCGGATGATGGTGTACAGCGGCGGCACACTCTGATACCAATTTGTTAGGTTCCCGATTATGGGAAAGTAACAAGATAACTTTATTTATCAAAGAGACGTTACAATATGGATAGCCTTTCGAGAGGGCTATATCTCTCCCAAGAACTATATCGATAATCTTAAGCCAAGTTCCTCACCTTAAACTATTCCCCAAAATACCATCCTTGTCTCCCTCCTACCCCTACTTATATCCAACTTACCCTTAACTAATTACCATAATGCCCCTAACTAATATACTAATATTCTTTCTCAAACTATCCCTATTAGGACTCTCACATGTCACCCTACCAATTGTCTATGGTGACAATAGTTGCTGGACCCAGCAGAGATGTCAATCTCTACAAAAGAATCATGTTTCTCGGAGTTTCAAAAGGCCAAGTCTAGACTACAATATATGGATCATAAGGTTGTTCTCCTTTTCTCTGTTTTTAGATATATGGCTTCTTATTTATCTATCCCCCCCCCCCTCTCTCGCCTCTAAAATTGCTTGGTCGTAAGGTGCTCGAGATAATACAAGTGTTTATACCCTACTGAATATGTGTAGTCCATAATTAATGAACAGTCACGCATAAAAAAGAACTAGAGAGCTTTCCAGCCATTTAAACTAGGGTAAAAAATGGAAATGTTTTGTCTCCTTCAATTGTCCATAGTTTATTAATTACCTGTCTGAGCTTCCATTGCATATAAGCTTTCTCACTAGGAAAATCAGACCTGAAAACTCCATGCAAAAGGGCCAGCAATATTTGAGGAACATTAATTTGCCCCCAGTTTCTCCTTGCAGCCAATCCCATTAACCTTTTCCTCATGCATGCATCATTAACTGCTGAAATCTGGTCAATTGACATAAATACTGATCTCAAATCAGCAACTGGCCAAGTTAATGGGGAAGAGAGAGGGAGAGAGGGAGGGGAACAGGGAGATGGATAGAAACATCTATTAATGCATTAAGACTTCAACTGGCCCTTCTAACTTCATTAAGCAGCTAAAAATTAAACCATATTTTGATCAGAAAGTGAAACAATATTTAACCTGCTTTATGAGTCATTCCAGGCCAGGCAATTATATCATATAATTTGGGCTTATGATCCATACAATAAACAACTACATGCCATAAGCTAGGAGTGAATGAGAAAACTGAAACCATATATCTTCAAGTTAGAAACACCAATCTATTCAAATTAGAAAACTTCCGTTAACTAGTCTAGGAGAAAAGAAAATCTGTCACTTTATTCAGCAAAATAGCTACAATAATTATTTATTTAATAGATTGTAAAGTTTAAGATGCATGATCTGAATGGCTACAATATCATCTTAGAGAATGAATCTATGCCTTGCCTGCATCTGAGTGCGGACAGCATGAAGCAAATTCAAATGTCTTTCAAAATTCTCTGACCGAACGCCTACTTCATCCCTTTTACTTGTCATCCCTGCAATATGTTTAATACCATTTTCTTTCTTTTTATCCTCAGATGAACAGATTTCGACCCTGGTGATGAAGAGAGAGATAACAAAGAAAAGATAAAGAAGATATACATGTTTTCTGTTTCCTAGCACTATCGGGAAAAGAGAAGAAAGAAAGAGACATGAATTCATAATCAAGTTGGGCGAGATGCATGTTGAAGGAAGTACAAAGTATGAGCAGGAAAAAACTATGAAAAAAAAAATAAAAACATTCTCATAAGAAGAGAACGCACCCCGAAAATGCCATTGATGCAAGCAATATTTCATATGCTACTTCATCCAAGTCATCATCTGTCAATCCTTTAATCATAAAACTATGAATCAAATTTCAGTAAAGGAAGTGATGGTTGGGAAGGGGAGACAAATTTAAACATTGTTTTGGAAAACTAATCAGTAAGAAAAGATAACCAGAACCAGAACATCTAGTCAGATAATTTATTTTCATAAGAAAAAATGAAAGAATATTGGGGATTTATTTCTTCGTTCTACTTGGTGTTCAGTAGCTTTGTAAGTGGTTGGATGCAGTAATCTCTCCTGCTGAAATCTCCTTGGCTTTTGTTTTCAGCATTTTATTCTTTGGACAGTAGATCAGATTTTGGTTCTGCATATGGTTTTAGCTCATATGGGTTTTCGTTTCTTGTGATTTTGATGGGTGTTTTGCTCATCAATGATGTATTTTGGCTTATGCTATTTGTTGGGACCTTTACTCTTTGTGTTTTTTCTGTTTTTGCTCTTTCTTCACTCAGAGTTTGTATGCTTGAACATTTGTTCAATGAAAAGTTTGTACGATGTAAAAAAAAATATGAAATGTTAATAGTATCAGTGTGTGAAACATTATATGAAATGATATCTCATTTGGACAGAAAAATAAAAGCATCAAATACCTGTATACAACTTAGGTAATCCTAAAGCCAGAACTTCAAGATCCTTCACAGGTTTCGAAGGTGTAGCTGTTGTTCCTTTAGATTGAGGACCACATTCATCACTAGAGATTGTAACATTGTCATCCATTGAAGACTCAAGCGGCCTATTTGAACACGATATGTCACTAGAGGATCTTTCCACCATTGTAGGTGGTGGTGCACGGTTAGGAGGTGATCCAGACAAATCTGGATGAGAAAGCAGAAAATAAGAAGTCCGTAGTCGAGATTGTATCTGCATTCATACATCAAATTAGTAATTAATAAACAAATATGCATACAGACCTTCTATTGCAACTCTAAGAGCCAAATGGCAATTATTATTGTTAAATTTTCATTAAAAAAAACATCCAAAATCGATATCGTTTTGGTACAACTCGAAAGTACATTGATAGAAGTCGCAACTTCACTAGGTGATTAACTACCCACTGTAAGGGTTCCCTTAGCCACTCGGGCACAGAGATGATAAATGTGTATAGCTAAATGCGATGGAGATGGTTTTATTGCTAATCGTCATGTACAGGAAATCAACAGAAACTTCAGCAAAGCTTAATTTTCAATCCAGCATTTCAGATAGTTCATAAACTAGACGGTTCATTCAGAGTTTATAATTAAAAAGTTACTAAAAATAGAAAACAGAGGGAGAGGGAGGCACGGAGACAGAAACAGTATAACGTTTTCTTTTCTTTTGATAAAACAACAGCGCAGCAGAATGTTAATCGCAGAGAAAAATGGAAAACCAAATAGCTTATCGCAAGCATATTCTTACCATAATCGGGTAAGAAGATTCATGAAGCTTCTTCTTAGCTGCTGTGGAAATGTCAATAACTCCACCTAAGAACGGAGAAAACAGCAAGAAAATAGTAATGAGATCAAATTTATCACAAGTATATTCGCAGTTATGCTGCTCGATCAACTAAAAATCCGACAACACTCTACAAAAATATGGAAAACAGATTGCACTCCAAAGACACTTTCTGATCCAAAACAAGGAAACCAAATTTAATTTAATCATCTAAAAGAAGAAGAAAAATACACAGAACTGCATAAAAATGAAACAGAATTCCAGCTTCAATCCTAGTGTTGCCTTGAAAAGATCGAAGAACGAGCAGATTATGAGCCATGACAATACCCACCCTTCTCTCGCACTGGAAAAAGCATAATTACCAGATTTAATGCACTCCAAAACATAGGTAGCGCTGAGAGCGTCAAGGTCGACGGCGGAGAGATTGGTGAGAGGACCGGCCGGAGTTCTGAGCTCTCTGATAAAACGCGACGACAGCAAGAAGCCGAGAAGTTTCTGCCGGTCACGGCGGTACCGCTGCAACAGAGAACTCGGCTCCATCGCCGATCACGGCGGAAGGCGAGAAGAGGAAACGGTACGACCAGAGGTGGAAGCAAGCTTCGAGGAGGAGCGCCAGAAAAATGAACTGCAAATGTAATCATTATAAATATAACGGCCTCTTTCTTCTCTCTCTCTACTCCGTGTGGAATGGTGTAAGAAAAGTCGTGGATTCCATATCTTAGTTTTCCCGTTTTGCCCTTACCATTTTTGGGAATTACAATTGATCTATTTGATTTGGACGAGTTTTATTATTATTATTATTATTATTATTATTATTATATTTATGAGTATCCGAGTTAATTTGCGCACACTTCAACTATTTTTATGGGATAATCATCTGACTCTACTACATTACTAAGAAAGTTAATTCATAAACCTCCAATTTGAGTTGAGTTTCAATTTATTCTATATAATTTATGTTTTTTTATTCAAACAAGACGTGGGGATGGAGATTCAAATTCACGATCTTTTTGATGAAAAATACATGTTTTAACGAGTTAAGCAGTTCATCGTCTATATAGTTCATATTTAGTATCAACTTGGTCGCTATAATTTGGGTTTAGCTTCAATTTAGATGTTGTAGTCTTACAATTTTCAATTCAGTTATGCAGGCTTTGTGTCAATTTGGTATATAAAATGTAGTTAAATCTCACATGTCCATTTTTTAAATTTTGTTTACTCGCTTTCCCATCTACTTATTTTATTTTACTTACATCTAAATTATAATACAATCATCTTAAGTAAAAAAAATTATAATACAATCAATTAACACAATTACTCAAATTGAAAATTAAAATTTTGTTTTACCCACCTAAAAATCTACTTATATTATTATATTTTTTACTTAATTCTAAATTCCAAATACTATCTTTCTCTTTTGATTTTATCCATTTTTAGGTGGCTTTCTTCAGTGGATACGTCTGTTCAACTCGAACCCACGACATCTCGATTGGAGATATATAACTATTACCATAGTATTAAAACTTTTAAAACTAATATGAGACTATTTTTGGGACGAAATTCGTAATTTAATTTGGGGTTGGAAGTATTATTGGCTCCGTTGGTCAGCGCGTAGTGTGGGGCCGTTTAAAGTCAACTTTATGATTATTTATTTATATTTTGTTTTTTGAACGTTTTCGCCTGAATGATTTGTCCCACTTGAATTGCGATCTCGGCTGTTATTATTACGGATATACCCCTTTAAGCAACGACTTTCCCCGGAAAGAGGAGTAGACTTATTTTAAGAAATACAAGTTGTAATTAAAAATCTCAATATTATTATTCTTTTCCTCCGTGATACTTTTCAGGAGATTCAAACTCACAACCTCTTGAAAAATATATCAATTACCGTTGAACTATGCTTATTATAACTTTGTAAGTCTTATGTTGTTTATTATTTTTCTTTGCAAAATTATAATTTGAATGTCTACTTATGTTCACATTGTGGTTATTTGCAAGGGAACAAATAACACAATGATTTATATTCTAAACAAATAATGCAAGGACCAAGTTGAAAATGTTCAACTGGTTATAGCATCATCTCCGACTAAAAGGTCGTGAGTTCGAATTCTCACTCCCACTTCTTCTACTCAAAAAAAGAAATAATAAACATGTAATGTCAATGATTTATATTCTCACCACTAATTTTAATTAAAATTATTTTATTTTTGTCATCTTGAGCATAGTCCAACTAGTCAAGACATATGCCTCTCTTAGAGGGTAAAAACCAACATGACATGTGGACCAATCAACTTAGATCGAGAGGAGCAGTCAGACTTATCCATCCAAAAGGAAAGGTCCAACTTATGACTTGAGCCGAGCTTAGACAAGCTGGATAGTCTGTAACCGCTCAATCTCCTGTCGAAACGACAATAACGGACTTGCCTCCCACACCAATTAAAAAAGGGACATCACTCCTACGCTCATGTATGCAGCTCTGTTTTAGGCCAATTTACTAAGCTCAAACTCTCACTTACTGGAGCTTTAGAGTGTCATTTTCTTTTTTGCAAGTCACTCCTCAAGTAGCTCACTCCTTCGTGGTTCGTTTGGATTCATTGGTAGCTTGGCAGAATCCAACATCAAGAGGAATCTTTATCCCACATTTTCTTTGAACAAGATATAAGATCGTCTCATTGATTAATAAAAAGGAACAAAATTGTTCAACTGATACAATCTCCCAAAGGAGAGAAAAAAACAAAACAAACAAAAGGGAGAGTATGAACAAATATTTTATTTATGCCAACCATGAATAGCTCAATTTATTATTAAAAAAAGTTGTCGACTTGAACATAATTAAACTAGTCAAGGCATGTATCTCCGACCAAAAGATCGTGTATTCAAACCCCACCACCCGTCATTTTACCATAAGAAACATATATTCTTTTAATTCTATATGACAATTTTCTATCCGAACTTCCACGGATGAAAGTAATAAAAATGTATGAAGAAAGGAAGAGATACGTTTCAATATAACCATTTTTAGTAACTAGTTTTGAGATTTTTTTTTTTTTAACAAGAAACAAATTTTTCATTGAATATATGAAAATGAAGAAAAATGTTAAACGATACAAACTTCTCAAACGAAGCCAAGAAAAAACCTCCAAATAGCAAAGAACCAAAACTAAGACCGAAGAGACAAAAACCCAAGAAAGGAAAAAACCATGAAAATTTTGAGCTACAACAATTGCAAAAATGAAGATAAACCAAAACAACCACAAGTTGGAGAGATCAAAGCCAAAAACAACGAGCATAGAAACTCTGAATGGCAAGGGGAAAAAAATTGGGCAGAAGCCTCTCCACCTTCAAGTCTAACTGAAACAAAAAAACACCCTCAAAAACCAATACCAACAAAGCTTGAGGACTGTTGATGCAAAAACTCGGCTGAGGTACAGAAGGTAACCTCGAAGGTCGGCCGAGAGCACTTGGACGGTTTTCCAGGTACCTGCAAGGAGGCAACCACTCCGACGTCCAAGTTAACATTTAAACCGAGCTCGATAGGTAAGTATCAAACAGATTTTCATATGTGGAATAGTGGGCGAAAGGTGTATTTATAGCAATAGATGGGTTGATATACGTCTCATCCGGTGTTCAGGGAGGGGCCTGTGGAATAACCGCTGATCCTTGACAGTGACCGGTCCGACCCCCGCTCTAAAGGACGAAATGATGTGGCCGCCTTATTCGCCAAACTACCGAGGCCAACCTCCCAGGTCGGCTCCTCGAGTCTCGCCGCGTCGGCTGTGCATAACTGACCCCGAAACAAGGACCATTGCACTGGAAACCGAGCCACGCCTCTACTAGAACATAAGAACTTCAAGGAATTGGTAAGATTGGGACTAAAGTAATTTCAACATCTTCAAAGTACGACCGAATCCCTTGATCTTCATAGCACAAAATTTCCTCCTTGTCAATCAAGTCATCTTCTTTGCAAGACACTTTCCTTTTTAGGCCGCAAACAAAAACCTTTGAGAAGGAAAATTGCCTTACTTGGAGGCGGCTTGAGATGACAGGGAGCCATAGACAAAATTTTAATAGAGAGTGGTCTTAATACATATATATATATATATATATATCAAAATTTTTAACAACAATCTTGCTAATATTTTATTACAATGTTATTTTTCTTTATTAATTAATTATTGAATATCTTTTGTCAATTGTTAAATTTTTTTAACAATCTAATTTATAAATTAAATTAAATATGTGCTATTTACTAGATTTATAGAACTAAAATTAATCATTTAACTCCTTCCTCCGCTAATTTAACTGTATTAGATTTAGTATCAAATAACTTAAAATAATAAACTTTATCAAAATTGAGTAAACTAGCAAATTTTTATCGTGTTTTTCGCTGTTAGACCATTTTTAGTATAATGAATATTAGAAAAATGTCTAGAATTTTATTCCTTTGGGAAAATTAAATAACCTTCTCAAATAAGACATTTTTCTTCCAATAAAACAATTAATTTAGAATCAATATTTTCCCAACTTCCTAGATCATATATATTATAATTAGAATGCATCATACATGATATTCTAACTAGAACTTTCATATCTATAACAATCAGTTTTTCTATTCTTCTTTTCTTAAGATTTTCATATCTAGATTCATTTTTATGGTAAACGTATTGATATTCTAAATAATTGAACAATCAACAATATGAAAAGAATTAAAAAAAAAAAAGTAAAAGAATTTGAAAAAAAAATCTACAACTTTGAAACTGTTAGATTGATTTGAGCAAATAAGAATTTTTACGCTAGTAATTGATAATCACAATTGAGTTGTGAGACTACACAGAAGATCAAACGGTTGAAAATTGATAGAGAGAGTCAAGAGTTAAAATTAGTATAACGTAGTTAACAGAAAATTTTGAAAGGAATTGTGAGGAAAAAAGCTAAAGTTAACGAATTTGAATTATCCCATTAAAATTGAGAACAATTGATGAGCTCTTGTTTTCAAGGGAACTATATGATATTAGTTTGTATTTTTATTATAAGAAAAATTTATGAAAAGTATAATATTTTATATTTTAAATTATATTTATAGTCTAAAATATGAACAATATGCGATCCTTCTAGAACCGGTGGCTTTGGATGATGTTTTAGTGGCCTATAGCTTAAGCCAGCACTGCCTCTTTCGAAAAATCTTCATAGATATATTCCAATTTTCTAAAAAAGATGGAGATTTAAATCGTCCCCGTCATCTTAATTGGTAGAAATCTCATGATTTTTCCCTGCCACTTCATTGGTCGAGTTATAATGACGTAGAAAAGGGGTGGCTGATGCATTTTTCTTTCTTTCTTCATTAAAGGCATCTTCTAAATTAGTTGGAGATATTCCAACTGGCTTTGAAGAATCGAAATTAATATGTAATCTCGAAGAATATTTACTTCTTGAATAAAAGAAGGAAAGAGGAGGAATGAAATTCCTACGCGGTAAAAATAGGGCTACGTCTCCCGTTGAGGCACATTAACTTCTAAAACTGTCATTTGTTCTCTCAATAACTTATCCGTAATTACCTTTTCTTCCCAAATAAAAAGGGCTCCTCCCCAGATAAAGATGCTTCATCTATTAAAACTCTCTAGTATGGTTCAACCTCTAAAGTCAAATTTAAACTCAAATCCAATAAATTTGAGATGATTATAGTGTTCAAATTTCTCAAACTACATCCGAGGGAAATTTCTAGAATACCCGAAGATATATTCCACTTCTACCCCAAACGCCACATTCATGAAGAATTTCATACTCCCCTTAATTAGGTTGATGGTTTGTAAAGAGTCAGATTCAACTTGCACAAATTTGAGATTTAATCCAAGTCGATGAATTTTTCTCTCGACTCTTCCAATGAATTTTGCATCTATCATTTGCAAACTTTTTGAAAGTTTGAAACAACTCATCACATATGTTGGGATGGGTATATAAGGTTTTAAGTTTTTAGGCTAATTTTTTATTTTCATAGATGTACTTCAATCATTATATCTATTTAAATTTCAAAAAATATATATATTAATGTTGCCATAGATTTCAAATTATATCAATTTTTAGGTCTTCTCACATTCTAGATATTGAAAATTAAATGATGATGAATTGCAATTCAGACATGCTAATTGAGAAATAAGATTATGACCAAGACGTAATTAGATACGCATGTTCTCTCAATTTATCTAGGATAACTAGATATTATATTATATCATCTCATCTAAACTTTATCCAATTGAAAATCGCATCAATACTGTATCGATCAACATTGACGATAGACTCGTGAGATTTTTAATATTGTTGAAGACTTTTATCTAAGCATTTTCCCATCGAGAATTCTTTGTAGAGGTAAACCAAACGCAATAACATGATGAACCAACAAGTCTTTGGGCCAAGTAAAAGGGAATCTTTTTTCTCAATTTTTGTTACGTCATGTCTCCCTTGGAAGTTAGTTAGCTAACTAACATTTTGTTAAGTTAATTAGCTACCTCACATTTTGTTCTAGGATTCTCCATCTTCGTAGGTCATTTATGGCTCACAAGTCCTTGCATAGGCTCTTCGAGGGTTGAATCAGCCTGATATTCGAAGGAATATATGCAAAATGTGTAATTTAACAAATAACATATTTAGAAAAACTTCCCCCATGATAATGAAATTTTGCACAAGACATTATAAATATAAGCATCAAACTACGTACAAAACCAGAATTGTTTGTTTTAAGAGGGATAAGGAGAAATGTGTATATAGAGTAGTTGAGAACAACCACCCAAAGCCAAAAGCCAAAACAAAGATTTTTATACCTTAAATTTATTGAATAATAAGATTACAGTATAGTTGAGGACTAAGGGGAGAAAAAAGATTCATGCCTTGGGTATTAGTCATCACTGAGAACCTTCACATTGCCACCATATACAAAGCACCTGAGCAGAGCAAGAACAACTACAGCAAAGAATAAAAATCACTACAATAACAACAGCAAAAGAAAAGCCTGTACTGAGTTTGCCGATTGATCCCTTTCACAACTACACACAGCTCACCTGTATAATCATAAGGCACACGTATATCGAGTATTTTCTTTTTCTAAACTTCCTCTTGAGCAAGGTTACTACTTTTCAAGATGTTGTACTTGCAGAGGGGACAGGTAGCGTTAATATACAGCCACTTATCGACGCAGGCGCAGTGGAAGTGGTGACCACATGGGAGCTCTCGGAGCTCGACGCCATCATCATATGCAGATAGGCAGATGCAGCACTCCTGAAAGACATCATTTCAGATGTGGTAAAAAATATAATCAAATGAGAGTGCAGGACAAAGGCAATTCTAATTTTTGACACAAATAAGATCATGGCAAAGTTTTGTTAGAATGTGATGATGGGTATGGCAAATGTACCGCATCCTCCTGTGAAAGAGCCCGTTCAATTGGTGAATCTGTACCACACTCAGTCATTATCCCGCCAAGAGGTCCCTGTACATCAGTGGAGAATTTCTCGGCATCGTCGACCTTTCTGAATTTAAATTTTGACAACTGTTCGACATCTTCTTTGGTTGCACCTTCCTGCATATATGCATGATTATGCAGAGCAAGGCAGTGAAGTTGGCACTATCCATCGTTGATGTTTTTTAGTGCAAGCTTATATTGGCTCACAACTCAAGCATAATAACTATCTTCTCTTTTGTTTTCAAATTACAAGTTCAGTACATAACTCTTTAGAGTTGTACATACTAGATCCCTAAATTTTTAACATTTTAGAGTTGTCCATAATAGATCCTTGAACTTTCAATTTGAGTTCAATAGGTCCTATTTTTAAAATAGACAGAAAATTTAGGTGGCCTATCATATAGAAAATTGAAAGATCAAGGTCCTACGAGTCTACTTGAAAAATATTTGTTCCATAAGTTGTACAGATAATCCTTCGAATTCCAAAAAGAAAGATCAAGGTCTTATATCAGGAATTTTAAAAATGTTTAATAGGCAAGATTAGAAGTTAAAAAGACCACCTATTGACACTTTTAAAATCTAGGAACCTATTTGATAAAAAATTTAAAATTTACATACACCTTTTAAAATTCAGTAATAATTGGGGAGCTCTTGTAGATTTGAGGACTCATTTTTATATTATTTTTACTTTTATTAGTCTACCTCTACCTTTGGTAGTCTTTCTTTTTATTTGTATCTTTTCAATTATCAATGAACTGTTTAAAAAAATAAATAGACTAAAATTGTAATTAGCCTTTTTCTTAATAAGAAGGTTGTAATTAAACTTGTAATGTGTGAAGATGTCGCACATTTACTTTTTAAGGAGTGTTGTTTTTAATTTTCCCTGTTTTGTTTTGTTGTTTGTTCGTTTTTATCTAAAAAAATAAAAAAATAATTAAACTTATAATGTGTGAAGATGTTGCACATTTACTTTTTGAGGAGTGTTGTTTTTAATTTCCCCTGTTTTGTTGTTCTGTTCGTTTTATCTAAAAAAAAAAAAGGGTTGTGACGGACTCCCCACCACTTGCATTATGCTCGTCCACCCCTATAATCCCCAAGTTTTACCTGCCTCAAGACCAGCTCTAAAAGACAACAAGAATGGGTTTACAATGGACAAAGCAGAAGAATTTGATGTCAGGACGACAGGACCTTTTTTTTTTTAACAAGAAACAATTTGATATCAGGATCTTATTACGAGAAAATGTCACATAATAAAAACTAGATGCCTTTCTCTTCTAATTTTTACTTCAATGGTTCTACCATGGACAAAGCAGAAGAATAATATAACAGGATCTTGTTACGTGAAAATGTCACAAAACAAAAAGGAGACAGGGTAATGGTAGACAATAATAATAACCTGCCCTTTAATGGACGCATAAAAAGATATTCAGGGACTCTATACAATTACCTGATCTGCTACAGCATATAAAAGTGCAATGATACAGGGAAGACAGCAGCAAACAGCAATTCCAATGATACATGCCAAAGCAACACAGAAAACCACAAAGAACACATCAAAACCCAAGAATATGATACATAACCTGCAGTGCCAATCACATTAACAGAAGTTAGAATCTATAACAAGATAATATGTCAACTTCAAAATCCGGTACAAGAAAGGAGTGATCACAAACCAGTAGAGCAGAGGGGAGATGTGTGCTAAAGATTGACCTCCTGCAGATACCCAGTAGAATCCAATAATCCACCAGATGAAGGAAAACATTGTATTTGCAGATTCAAGGTGCTTTGCTACACTGTCATGACAGAACCAAAAATGAAATATAGTAAATATGGGGAAAGAATGATGAATATAGTGAACATAAAAAATATACATATAAGAAACACCACATGTACGAGGTCAGAGATCCCATTCACAACATTCCAGAACTATCACAGTAAACAAACTTCAATTTCCAGAACCCAGAAGTCCACCATGCAGGAGATAATCAATGGGCAACATTTTCCTGCCATTTGTTGCTTCAAATTTTTAACATCCAAGATAGAAGGAATATAGTTCTCGATAAAAGATGATCCTCCTAACTAACTGCGATTCTTCCATTCATCTCTATGCTTCTCTTTGCAGTTGCAAGGTTGGAAGTTGGCCTTCATCTTACCTAGGGCAGCCCCTCAATGAAAATCCTAATCAGGTCTCCTTTCCAACCCCTGATTTGGAGAGGATATAGAAGAGGCTTCACAACTGGAAGAACTCCCACTCCAAAGATCACCAAGCAACTCTAATTCAAGCCACTCTTACAAATTTGCCCGTACTTCTTTTCCTCTTTTCAATTTGACTTCCAAGGTCACTAAAGCTATTGAGAAATCATACAGAGCTCAAAGCAATAAAGGAGGTAGCCACCTTATTCATTGGTCAAAGGTTCAACTTCCCCTTGATTGGGTAGGGCTTGGCAGTAGAAACCTAGCAAAGGAATACTTCCCTCCTTGGAAATGGCTTTGGAGATTTCATATCAAGAAAAATTCTCTTTGGAGAAAAACTTTTGTGGCTAAGTCAAGCTCGTCTAACAACCATTTATGGTCAGGTTCTCGTTCTCTTTCCTCTTCTTATGGGCCGTGGCATGTCATCTGCAAGCTAAAGGAGGTCCCCTTTAAGAGATTCTCCTTTCGGGATGATCTTTGGATCCAAACATGTATAGCTATCCAAAAGGATGTATAGCTTCCCTATCTTCATCCTTTCCAAAGATCCATGCTTTCACCTAGCACAATCCTCTCACTGTGGCTGATTCATGGAACCCCTCCTTTCTCCCTGGAACCTTGGTTTTTACAGAAATTTACATGATGGTGAATTTCAAGAATGGCTATAGCTAAAATTTCTTCTTTCGACTTTTAATTTCAGTTGCTCCCACAAATGGTCTTGGACAGCAAGCATTCCCAGAACTTTTTCTTGAAGCTCTATCTTCACTGATCATCATGAGAATAAAAGCCACATAAGCCAGACCCATTCTCCTCGATTTGGCATGATAAAATCTCAAGGTTTCCCAAAGTCACCTCTCTTCAGCACATGCTCTTTTGCTGCTAACTTATAGCCTTCCCTTCTGTTTTCTTTTGGCTGGCACACCCCCCTCTAATGCATTCTCTCTCTGCTGTCCTAGTAGTTGGAAGATCATCCTTTCTCTAAAAAGAAGGAAATCCTAACCAGTGATCACCATCCCTCTTAGTCCTGAGCCATCTTACTTACCTCCAACCTACATGCTATCTTTGACCCCTGTCTAATACCCCTTAACCAATACGCCACCTCTGACCCATTGCCCCTAAAAAAGTCTATCCCTCTCAACCCATAACCACCACACCAAACAAACCCTAAAATCAACCCGACTTCGACACTGAACTGCTTGAATCCACCAAATTTTCCCAACCCAGTTTCCAGAACCGACCTAAATTAGCAGCCATAGACCACCCCTCAGCCCAAACAATTCCCGATTCTTCTGAAAGAACCCTTAACCATCCTCCTCATCAACCTTTGACTCTGTCTGTACTTGATCCTCCCTTCTAACCAGCAATCCAATTAGCTGTTACCATCTATAACAAGAGTACCTACCTCGTCACGAGTTCCAAACACACGACCAGCATCTCTCCTCATAACTCTAAATTAGAAGATGTAGAAAGTCAAGCAGAAATTTAGGAGAAATTACTTCAAATTTATTTCCTTGTATAGTATGTGATTTAGGTTTTCCTTGTAGATCTAGATTGATACCTAATTTCTAGTTTTTGATTGAAGGTCCTATTGTATATATTTTCATCCTATTGTATTGAGAATAATAAGAAAAAATTCTTCTCTCAAAAATCTTCATGGTATCAGAGCTTTAAGAAATAAACCCTAAGTTTTCAAACCCTAGCCGTCACAAGATATAAACCCTAATTTTGTACAAACCCTAGCCGTCATCAGATCTACCTCCGGCGACCTC